ATATATTCTGATTAAGGACGTCAGTTGAATTTGTGGGGCCTAGGACAAAATTATCAAGAAGTTCCCACTCTGACAACAGCTTTTTTTTTTAAACAAAAAGTCCACTCAAAGCACTTTTTTTGCTAAAAAACCCTCACCTACACTCCCACCTCACCCGAGCATCTTTTGTCAAGCTCTACCACAGTTAACCCAGCAATGGAAACCTCTGGCTTTAAGACGTGTAAGTGCACAGGCAGACGGCAACCTCTCCAGCCACTTCCTCCCAGCTCTCTCCCTTGTGTGACCCACATGTTCTGGAGTGCGGGGTCAAGCCCCAGAGATCAGAGACACAGAGGAGAAAAAGAGAGACAGAGAGCTGCCCCTTTCCTCCCTCCACCCCGTTTATCCCTCTGTACCCCTCCCCTCTCTCTCTCATCCTCCACTGAATCTCTCTCTGGGTAACAAAAGCAGGCCAAGGCAGGAGAAGGCCCCCTCTGCACATGAGTGTGAGAGGCATGACCGACAGAGCAGAAATACCAGCCCACAGACTCCTCCACAGTCACCATTCAAATAAGCAAAAGAGAGCAAGAGAAGGATGGATGGATGGAGGGAAAGAGGGAGAAAAGACACAATGAAACGCTCTGTATTTGAAGGGGAGAACTAGATAAAAAGAAAGAGAAGGAGAAAGAGTATAAAATTAATAATAAGAACAGGAAGGAGTCTCCGAATGGAAATGAGGACAACACATTCAGGGAGGATTGAGGAAAAAAGAGAAGAGAGGAAAGAAAGAAAGAAAGAAAGAAAGAAAGAAAGAAAGAAAGAAAGAAAGAAAGAAAGAAAGAAAGAAAGAAAGAAAGAAAGAGAGAAAGAAACAGAGAGAAAAAGGTTTGCTGCTTTGCTGAGTTTTGCAGGTTAACCTAATGTGTAGATCTGGAGAGATTTGCAAAGACATTTTTATTCATATGATTAAAGTCTCTCTCTCCCTCGCTCACACTCTCTGACAGGAGGTTTGTTATGTTTTGTTTGTTTTTTCCTCTACATACACAGAAATATTCCCTCATTGCTTTTCCTGCATGTTCTCACACGCATGCAAATTAATTTACTCACATGAAGTCAGATGCATGTGATCACGCACACACCTAGTCGTTTCGATCGGCACAGTAACTTTACAACAAATACATGAGGATGAGACATCAGATTCAGTGATTAGGATGCACATACAGCCAAGTGTGCATTGGGGATAAACACAAATTTGTGCTTACATTAAAATGAATGGAGACCACAGGTGCTCTGGCCTGCAAACCCTTTAGGCGCCCTCATACAAACACTGACTAACACACTAACTAAAAAAATACATTTTCTTACAGGTAAACAATATCAGGTTTTTGTGCACAATATGATTCAGCACTGCCTGGGACAGAAATTAAAATGTAAAAAATAAAAATTAATTAAGAATAAAACAAGTAATTTATTTAAAAAACAAAAAAAAAATTTAAATATTGAGAAACATTGTGCTCTCAAATGTCATTTGCACTCTTATATTCGGTCACACTTTATTTTAAGGTCCAATTCTCGCTATTAACAAACCATTAACTACGACTTTTTCCTAATTTGCTGCTTATTAATAGTTAGTAAAGTAGTTGTTAAGTTTAGGTATTGGTTGGATCAGAAATGTAGAATATGGTCATGCAGAATATGTGCTTTATAAGTAATAATAAACAGCCAATACGTTAAAGGGGGTCATATGACGTTGCTAAAAAGAACATTATTTTGTGTATTTGGTGTAATGCAATGTGTTTATGCGGTTTAAGGTTAAAAAAACACATTATTTTCCACATACTGTACATTATTGTTGCTCCTCTATGCCCCGCCTTTCCGAAACGCGTCGATTTTTACAAAGCTCATCGGTCTGAAAAGCGAGGTGTGCTCTGATTGGCTGAATACCTCAAGCGTGTGACAAAAATGTTACCTTAACATACTGTGATGCCCTGTGTCCCGGCGCGACAAGACAAAAACAATAAAACCCATTACAAACAAGGCATTTGTTGCATTCAGTGGGGACATAATTACTGATTATAACGGCTTGTGCTCTGATTGGCTGAATACCTCAAGCGTGTGACAAAAATGTTACCTTAACATACTGTGATGCCCTGTGTCCCGGCGCGACAAGACAAAAACAATAAAACCCATTACAAACAAGGCATTTGTTGCATTCAGTGGGGACATAATTACTGATTATAACGGTATACTGTCTTTTTACGCATTGCGTATCGTGCTGCGTAAACATAAAACCATGTCTGGAGAAACGACAAACAACGAGCGCGACTCTACACTGCTCAAAACAGCGTTTGAATCGTCAGTGGCAAATCCTTTAAATATAAAAAAACTTACTTACAGTCTGTGAGTCAGAAGCGCCAGACTGTCCTTGCAAAGTTGGAACTGCCCAACTTTATAGAAACAAACACCGGCATTGTAGGCTTGAACTGTTCTGGAACAGTGTTGTAAATACAACTTAACCACTTATTTCTAGTTGTGTCCTCTTTTGGAAGGCCAAACAAGGTGGTTTCGCTTTCACAACGAAACACAGCGTCACACACGGAGGCCGGCTAGAGTGAGCAGAGGCGGCGGGCTTGAGAACAGCGCGGCCGGCGGATTCGACGAAGGAGCGCCCGGCGGGATTGTGGCAACCACATGAGATGACCCTGGGCTGGACTCTGCTTCGTCCACGGTGAAAGCCGATCCACAGCGCAAAGTTGATGTA